TAGTTTATTTAACGGTTGTTCTATTTTTAACTATTAATTTGATTTGTTACATTCCGGAACTCACCTGTTTCGGTTATTTATTAGAAATATTTCACTTTTAAGACGACGTAAAGACAAAATCTTATTAATTTATTATAGTGGAGCTAAAGCATGCCCATTCTCATTTGGGGGTTCTTGTGAAGGGTAAAACATGTCTATTAGCAGTTTCAGGTTCTTGTGACGGTTAAAACAAGTCTATTAGCAGTTTCAGGTTCTTGTGACGGTTAAAACAAGCCTATTAGCAGTTACCTTTTTCAATTAAATCACCTTATTTATATAGGGCCTCTCTGCCACCCCCACCTATAACGTTTACCTAGGCACAAGAACTAACATATATTCATGATATCTTGACAAAGTATATGCACGACACCTACATGGAAATGTTTGAAAAATTACCTGAATATACCTTAATACAAATGTATTCGAACTAGTTATGAAAGGTTGAAATCAAGTTAATTAAACAGTAGCAATGAAATCAAGTTAGGACAATTAAACAGTAGCAATGAAATCAAGTTAGGGCAATTAAACAGTAGCAATGAAATCAAGTTAGGGTAATTAAACAGTAGCAATGAAATAAAGTCAGGGTAATTAAACAGTAGCAATGAAATCAAGTTAGGGTAATTAAACAGTAGCAATGAAATCAAGTTAGGGTAATTAAACAGTAGCAATGAAATCAAGTTAGGGTAATTAAACAGTAGCTATAAGCCCTCAATTTTAATGCTGACCCACTTGGTTGGGGTGTTATATATATCAGAACGACTGTCCCATAGAAGTCTATACAAGTTTGACCTCGTGACTGTATCCACTGATTGGACTGTGGTAGGTCCAGCTCAAGGGTGACACAGATACTTGTACAATTTGGTATACGTTTAAAGGTCTTTCTCTTGAATGTTACTTTGAATAATACTCGTTGACGTAGGTAACCTACTGATGATTGAATACTGCACTAGGACTCTATGTCTGAGTTGAAATTGCGATATAACACTATTCTACTTGTCCTTATCCTGTCCATACGTAGTTGAAAAGATGCTTCTATCCTCGCACTCATTGAGAATTACAACAAAGTGTAAGAAGCCGGCCAGTTTTTTGTGTTAAACATTACACTATTGTGAATAAAGATTTGTATTATTTGTTCACATATGTTTGCTTATTTTTCCTTTAAATTCGTTGTTCAGTTTATTTTTATATAACGTTTCCTGAACCTAAGTTTGTAAGAAAAATTCTGGTTACGTGCTGGATATCATTATACCTGTATACCGCATTATAAAACAAAAATTTGAAGTTCGATTCCTGCATTGGGCATAATGCAGATAACCTAATTATCTTACAATTTACATTTAATCACTTCACTTTTAACAAACTTGTTGAACTCGATTAAATTTCGGGTTTTGATGTATTAGTAAAATGTGGAAAAAAAAATCGTTTTAATAGACTCGCCGTTTTTTTTTCTTTCTTTCTTTCTTTCCACAGGTTCATAGCAGTGACCCAGCCAATCAAATACTCGAAACACAAGAACAACAAGAGAGTGGCTCTGACCATAGCTGTTGTTTGGATAGTGTCGGCTGCCATTGGTTCCCCTATAGTGTTAGGCTTAAACACAACTCCCGAGAGGATTCCACAACTCTGTATATTTTATAACTCTGATTTCATTATTTATTCTTCACTCAGCTCATTTTATATTCCCTGTCTTGTTATGATATTTCTCTATTACAAGATATTTAAAGCCATCCATGAAAGAGCCAAGAAAAGCATAGGCAAGAGACTTCCCACATCTACCGATACCAAACCGGGCATTGTTATCGAAAATGCTTCACAAACACAGTGGCAACAAGAGACAGCCCTTATCTCTTCTTCAACCTCAGAAGTCGCGTATCAGAACAAACTGAAACTTCTGCAGGTCGTCCAAACGGACGATGTCACCAACACCGGAAGCGGAAGTCAATACGATGAAGACTATGAGGAAGACACTAAAGGTGGTGACAATGATGATGGCGAAAATGAGAATGATGATCGCTGTCAGATTATCGAAAATAAGAAAACAACTGACTTTATTTTGAGTGACGTGTCCAAGACAGTCGAAGAAAATACAGAGAAAAACGGAAATGCAGATTCCAAGGTAAAGGAAACGGAGTTTTGTATCCAGAACCCACTCACCAGGACTTTAAAGGAGTCCAGAACGACAACGTCTTCTGCTTTCTCTCCCAAAAACGGAAGAGAAAATAAAATTCTGTCTTTAGCTTCTGGTAGTAATAGCGGTAATCACTCGATGGCTTACTTGAACGTGCCAAAGAAGAAATCAAGATTTAATCTTGGACGGAAGCATAAAAGCAGTCGTAAAAAACGAGAAAAGGCTTACGCAAAAAGAGAACGAAAAGCCACAAAGACCCTAGCTATAGTATTAGGTAAGTGAAGTTGGATTTAAAGACTTAGCTATAGTATTAGGTAAGTGAAGTTTGATTTAAAGACCTAGCTATAATATTAGGTAAGTGAAGTTTGATTTAAAGTCCCTAGCTATAGTATTAGGTAAGTGAAGTTTGATTTAAAGTTCCTAGCTATAGTATTAGGTAAGTGAAGTTTCTCTACCTCCTTGAATCAGTCCAGATGTTGTGATAAAACAGAAACTTGGAAGCTTATTTTGAGCGGAGATTTTATAGGAGAACAGCTAAGCTTGACGTAAGCTTATAGCTTGCAATCCAATAGGAAACAGGTCTAAACAGGCCTAAAATCTAATTGGTTCGATAAAAAGCTGCTTATGACTTAATCCTTTTAAAGCGTCCGCTTTAAACGCGCGCAGAATTTTTGCGAGCCTTACACTGTATACAGCACACTCGCATTCAACTGTCTGAGGCGGACAGTACTCTATACGGCAAATCAGCAGTTAATTGGTTCAAACGCGAATATTTATTTATTGTCTTCACCATATCACGCTTACCATTGTTGGTCCAAGCAGGTTTGTTATTCGGATATCTACATTAAAGTAAGATTGACGTTTGTGAACTTATTTTAACAGCTTTGCTACTGACGGTTGTGTTAGGATGAATTCAAAGCTCCCTCGATCACTAAATGATTCAATCAATGAATTAAATCCTTTCCTGTAACATCATCAAGTCTCGCGGTAATAAAAAGTCGCAGTCTAGGTTTACTAAAAAAATTGATCTAACCTTATACCTAAGTTGTACATTTCACACTATTGGCACTAATGTTTTCAACATATCTGGGTAGTACATTTCACACTATTGGCACTAATGTTTTCAACATATCTGGGTAGTACATTTCACACTATTGGCACTAATGTTTTCAACATATCTGGTAGTACATTTCACATATTGGCACTAATGTTTTCAACATATCTGGGTAGTACATTTCACAGTATTGGCACTAATGTTTTCAACATATCTGGATAATACATTTCACACTATTGGCACTAATGTTTTCAACATATCTGGGTAGTACATTTCACAGTATTGGCACTAATGTTTTCAACATATCTGGTAGTACATTTCACAGTATTGGCACTAATGTTTTCAACATATCTGAGTAGTACATTTCACAGTATTGGCACTAATGTTTTCAACATATCTGGATAATACATTTCACACTACTGGCACTAATGTTTTCAACATATCTGAGTAGTACATTTCACACTATTTGGCACTAATGTTTTCAACATATCAAGAGTGAGAGTAACAACTCAGCAGCGCTCTCTATCTCTGTGGCTGTCCATAACTAAATAGTTGACCGGTTTGTCACAGTTATAATGCTCTCGTAAAGTGCGAATCGTATTCCTTTGCATATCACGTTGCGAACCTTGGACATTTCTACATGTAGTCCAGCAATCTAACCACCAGACGCGACCGGTATATTTCCCAGAAAGCACCGCTAGTGACTTTTATTTTCGTCATTATGATGACGTAGACGTTTTGCCAGCAACGTTAATGAGATAATTTAATTTTACAACTGTTGCCCATGCTCTAATGAGTTAATTTAAGTTTACAATTGTTGCCCTGTCTCTAATGAGATAATTTAAGTTTACAATTGTTGCCCTGGCTCTAATGAGATAATTTAAGTTTTACAATTGTTGCCCTGTCTCTAATGAGATAATTTAAGTTTACAATTGTTGCCCTGGCTCTGATATTCTTTATCAGAATTCCTCTCCCACCAACTGAATCAAGTAACGGTTTTATTTTTGTTTTTATATGAAATCCGCGCAAAATTACACGAATGCTACCTGAGCTAGACCTTCCCTAGTTTTGACCTCACCCCTCGAGTGGCTCAGACTTACAACGCCAGAAACCGGTTTCGATGGAAGGCAACTGTTTTCTTTACCGAATGTACAGGTTGTTAGGACACTCGACTCGCAGTCTGAGAGCCGCGGATTCGAATCCCCGTCCAGCCAAACATACTCGCCCTTTCAACCGTGGTGTCGTTATAACGTGACGGTCAATCCCATTATTCGCTGGTTAAAAGAGTAGCCCAAGAGTTGGCGGTGGGTGGTGATGACTAGCTGCCTTCCCTCTAGTATTTCACTAATAAATTAGGGACGGCTAGCGCAGATAGACCTCGAGTAGTTTTGCGCGAAGATCAAACCTATCGTTCAGTGTTGTTGTTTGTATACGAGGGATGATTTTTTTTTTTAAGTTTCTATTACGTTTTTGTAATGTATTTTTGCCTAGTTTTTTTATGGTGTATGTACGTAAAAATCTATTTTTCCACGAAAGCCTAATTCCTATTTAGAAATAAAAAGAAATGTAGATTATGTTATTAAAAAATTTTAATGTTAGAAACAACAATAAGAAACGGGTATATATATATATTGAATTCTTATTTTATTTTCGCTTTTTATCACCACTAGGTGTCTTTTTAATCTGCTGGGTACCGTTCTTCACGTGTAACATCATGGACGCCATCTGCATCAAGCTACACAGCGCCGACTGTCGGCCTGGTGTAACAGTTTTCCTCCTTACTACCTGGCTGGGCTACATCAACAGTTGTGTTAATCCAGTCATCTACACCATATACAACACCGAGTTCCGGAGATCGTTCAAAAAAATTTTGATAGAACCTTGTAAATGAGGTAGATTCGACAAGTTCGACGCAACTATTGACGTCATATTGAGTATTAGAAACGTATTATAAAAATCAACCCCTGTCGGTACAATATTGAACTCTTATTAGATCCTCTCCGGTGGTTTTTTGTAAATGTTATTTGTCTCTTTACAGTTACGAGTTAAAAACGTTGAGTTTCAGCGTATTTTTTTACCATTAGCTTTAAGTCCAAAACCTTTCTAGTGCTATTTATTTCGAAACGATTTTTTCGGTCGGCCGTATTGTGTGGGCTGTTTCTTGACGAAATGATGTTGCCTGGATGAAATTAAATACTCGAGTTAGAAGTTATAAATAAATCTATGACAATACTAGGTGACTACTATAAACACGGGTTATTTAGTAAGAGACGCTTTAATCTTGAATGGTTGGGAGTGGTCACACTGTGAAGTTAGGGGTAAGAGACGCTTTAATTATGAGTGGTTGGGAGTGGTCACACTGTGAAGTTAGGGGTAAGAAAAGATTAAAGCGTTAACTTCACAGTGTGACCACTCCCAACCATTCGGGAACATCAGACACGAGGAGTAGTTCGTTAAAGTATACTTATATTTCGACCTTTAGCCGGTCAGTGGTCAGTACCTATTTATTTGTACATAATTTCAAACATATCGTAAGTAAATCATTTGATCTTCCAGTGACGAAATGTCTAGATCAGTGTTTCTCAACAGGGGTGCCGCGAGATTTTAGCAAAATATTGTAAAAAAAAACAAACAAACAAATCAATTACAACGTCACATATTTGAAACGTTTTTATGTATCTGATTTTTCTTTTCTACATCTATTCGTCTCTATGACCTTCCTCCCACCTCTTGGCTACGTCACTGTTAACTAGGCTATAATACGTTTAGTGTGCCGTGGAAATGTTCACAGGAGCAGATCAAAAGTAATGTTCACAGGAGTGCAGATCAAAAGTAACGTTCACAGGGGTGCAGGTCAAAAGTAACGTTCACAAGAGTGCAGATCAAAAGCAACGTTCACAGGAGTGCAGGTCAAAAGTAACGTTCACAGAAGTGCAGGTCAAAAGTAACGTTCACAGGAGTGCAGGTCAAAAATAACGTTCACAGGAGGGCCGATCAAAAGTAACGTTGACAGGAGTGCCGATCAAAAGCAACGTTCACAGTAGTGCAGGTCAAAAGTAACGTTCACAGTAGTGCAGATCAAAAGTAAC